TGGTGCTGCAACCTCACACCTCCAGAGTTCATTTTCTTCCCAACATTAGAAAAACTCAAATTGAGCAAAAGAGTGCTACTTAAAGCTATATTTTACACCACGGTAACTTTTCCTTGGGTTCTTCCTCACTGGTTTAGCAGTTCGGTCATGGACAGAGAGGTGTTGTTGTAGGGTGACTTTCTGTGTGAAACCCTTTCCGCAGGTTACACAAGTAAAAGGTTTTTCTCCTCTGTGGATGCGTTCGTGATTCCTTAGGCAGACTTTCTGGGTGAAACTCCTCCCGCAGGTGACGCAGCTAAAAGGTCGTTCTCCTCTGTGGATGCGTTCATGAGTTTGTAAATTGCCCTTCTGGGAGAACCCTTTTCCACAAAAACTGCATTTATAGGGCCTTTCTCCTGTGTGAACTACATAGTGAACCATGAGATTGGTGTTTGAATGAAAACATCTCCCGCAGACCTCGCAACAAAACCTTTCATTTTGTTTCAGCTTAGCGAACCGATGCTTTCTGAGACGGTTTCTGGCAGCATTTTGACGAACAAACACCCTACCGCCGTCTAAGCAACTGAAGTTGTTTGGCGGTTTCTGTAACTTAAATCTCTTTTCGCAATGTTCTGTAGTGGTCGCGGCATCCATACATATTTCCTGTGCTTCTCCGTCCTCCCCGGATTGGGAGGGAAACTGGTCATTGTGCTCTACTGAAAACCTGTTGAGGATACAGTGACCATCAACATCCAACGGATCGTCTATTGGTGCTATTAATTGGTCGACAGTGTCATCAATAGCAGTTCTTGTGGAGTGTTTGTCTGTCGAATCGGAGGACGTGTTTTGTTTTTCCGATATCCCAGAAAATTCACTAGACACAAAGTGGTTATTGAAATTTTTGGAGGCTGCTGAGGGCTCATATGCAGAAGATGGCAGCTGTACTCTTGAAATATGGGGCGTTTTCCCTGTTGGAGTATTGAAAATAGTTTACACCTGACAGATAATAAATGTACAAAATACAGAAACATTTTTCCTTCGCATTTTTCACACAGTCACTGATCACACGGATCCACGAAAATGGCTAAAAACATTGTAGTATGCTGCCAGACCAGAAGTTGGCGACGTCACTTTGTAAAGAAACTAGGGTTGTCAAAATTAATTCGATCATTATGTTTTCCGCGGATTTGTAGTTTACATGAAGATGATAACGGTATAATTTTCAAAAACTTGCACTTTTAATACCGTTTTTAGGCTCCAAAAACACCATTGTCATGTAAATTAACTGCCAAAGCGCATTAAATTTTTCAGTTTTTTTGTTGAAAACACTGTCATTTAAATGGCCCCTAATTAACGATCTGCTAAAAATCAAAACATTACCTGTACAACTGGGATAAGCATCCACTTCAAAACACTCCTCTTTGATTAAGACCAGGTTGGAGGGGTCTTTTTCATCATGCTGCCAAAAATAAGCAGATCATGTTAAATAACATTATGTTTTTCCATTTTATTTACGCAGGATTGTAGAAATTTGTTTATATTTTAAAGAAATAATAAGGTTTTCAACTATGAAAAATGACTGAACAAAACTAAAAATTAGGCAGATGGTGCAATAGTATTTAGCTCATTCTCTATTGCACCATGTCAATTTTGGGACCATAGAAATGGTTAAAGTAAATTTTTGATTAAACTGTATACCAGTGTCATTTGTAATGCACCATATTGAAAGTGACAGATAAACCGCTTTAAAACAGTTGCAAATGCAAATTCTTGCATTTGCAACTTTATTTTATAACTTCATTTTCTTCACAAACTTTAAGAGTATGTCAGCCTCGTAACTGTTGGCTTTTGAAACAAGTTTCATTATTGGGAACTCAAATTAAACGAACCTTGTAAGGCGAAGCCGGGTACAGGTCGACATCGATCGCCAGCTCATCTCTGGACTCCTTTCTCCGATCCCACAAACTGGAGCACCACTCCTTTCCAAATATCCCTTTGATGGAGGGCTCTGGTACTATCAGGAGTAAAATATGCATTATAATCACAGTAGTGCACATTAAAACAACTGTTTTAAGCAGAGGTTATACTTACCATCTTCTGTTTGAACACAAATGGAGCGGTATGTTTTGGAGCCAGATCGCGCTCTCTTTGTGGTGCGCGTGCTTTCGCTTTGCCCTTCACTTCCAAGACAGAACATTTCGTCTTTAAGAACTGTGTTTTCACTCATGACCCGAGACAGTTCTTGTCGTAAAAACGCAAAATCGCCGTCTACAATTTTGCATATTTCTTCTATTGCCGTTTTAGCCGTGATCTCCATTATGGAGCTTAGTCGCAAACGAAACGATAGAGATTTTGACATATTTTAATAGTCGCGATTTTTTTTTAATCAATGCGAGAAAAAAGAACTGTCTAAAAAACCGTAAGGTCAGTCACCTAAAAAAACAATTCCATTATGTGCAACTGTGAAAAAACCCGGATATAAAATGTAAGCATGGAAACCTCGGCTTTTATTTTGCCTCAAAGTATCGTTAGCTTCCGGTTTATGTGGAGTTCCCTGTGTCCTAACAGACTTTAGTGGCAGAGCCAGGGTTTTTTTTCCCATAGTGGTGGCCAGGCAAGGGCCAGCAACCAGTCTGGACTCCGCATCTGAAAAGTGTCACGTTTTTTGTGGTCTTAAAGCGACGGTTTATTTTCACCATACATAAAAAATTGCGGTTGTTCTAATCTTTGACTAGCTCATCAATCATCATCTCAATGCTCTTTCATGATATTGTGGTATTGCGGTTTGACATGCTAATACTCCCAAATGTAGCCATTTTTAACCATGTACTGTATTTTGGAATTATTGCCTTAATCTCATTATTTCACTCATTTGGAATGTACTTTATTCATGGCGAATGAACCACTTGATGAATTATCAACTGAATGAGCCAGATTATTTCAACGTAAGGTACTTTTGCCATTTTTTCCGCTGACAGTCACTTCAAGTGGTCATAACCACTACTAAGCTGCCAGTGGGCTTTATGCACAGCTGCACTACTTCCTGAACTTCAGCCAGCTCCTTGTTTCCTGTCTGCTATTATTGGGCAAAATTGATTAATTCAGGTGTTTCTGATTATTGTTGCCGTGACTACTAAGGTCAAGCACACCTGAATTAATTAATCAATGTGTCCAATAATGGCAGACAAGAGACAAGGAGCTGGCTGAAATTCAGGAAGTAGTGAAGCTGTGTATAAAGCCAGTTGGCAAGGGTTATCATGTCAAAACATTATCTAGGGGTGCATAGGATGTAAAAAAAATCGCAACTAGAATTTGGCCACCCAGATGGTCCAAGACTACTTAGTGAACCTGGCCCTAAAGGTGTGTTCACATTAGAATTTCAACAAAATTCAGAGGACAAAGCAAGGTCTATTGTACTATAGCATTTTTTTCTAGAAAGATGGTGAGGTAATGGGAAGAGGTTTTCAATGTCCCAGTGCCTCTCATATTGGTACGTTTTGTAAAAAAATCTGGCTTTTCACAGTTCTGGGAGACACACAAAACTCTCAAGGCTGTCCTCTATTTATCTGCAACTCTTCAGAGCAACATGGCAAGATTGATTGTCTTCCATTACCAGAATTCATTTAGATATGCGCATCTACTCTACGGCGGGTACACAAATTGAGCTCATGACCCAGCATGATAATGTTTAATATATTGTTGATCAAAGGATGTTGCTCTGTGGACTACAACAAATCTGCTCCCAACATCATAATCGAAATTAATAATAACAACCAATGCTGTCTTTACATCAGATCTCAATATACAAACACCTTCTGCACGTCACGTGTTTTCAGTATAGCGATCGTTCACATACAGAAGTCAAGTCTAAAGGTCAAGCGTCTGGAGAATGAGGGACACGTACTGAGCAGCGGTATTTTTATCTCGGTTAGGACACAAGACAACCAGTTCAGCTCTCATCTAGAGAGAAAATGGAGGTTAATTCACTGCTCTTAGAGGAAGACCCTTGTTGTTCAGTGTGTGGGGAGGTGTTCAGCGTTCCAGTGGTCCTCTGCTGTATTTCATGCGGGCGCAGCTTCTGTGAAATTTGCTGTGAGCAGTTTTGGGAGACGCAGTGTCCCTTCTGCAGGCAAGAGGCCACTGGATCCCATCTCAGAAAGTGCAGGGAGCAAAGAATAAAGGTATTAAATACAGCACAGCTCAATGATAGAGATATAATCAAAACGGCATCATATTCAAGCACACCCTGCAGAGCAATGCATGAAAATAACCAGTAATCAAAATGAATTATGTTGTGTAACCTGATCTTTTAATTAGCTAAACAACTTTAGGACGCCTTCAGCCCATCCCCAGCCCATAGCAAGCATATTACATGGTCAGAAGGGACTGTCTTTATATATATATATATTACTGGTAAATACGCAAACTTTTGAAAACGGGTTTCGAAGTGAACATTTTTGAAAACGATATTGTTGTTGCCTCCGTGTAAATTACAAAAACGTGAATTTGTAAAAACAGTGACGTCATGCGCATGCGCTTTACATGTTCAGTCTATGTAGTGTTTTTTTTCCAAATACTGGCCTGGCATGAATAATACAGCATTTTTAGTCATTTTTGTGTCTTCTGCAAGTTGTCGTCTGTACGTGTAAAAAGTACATTTTAGTACACCGTTTTCATTACATCGTTGTTGTGTAAACACACTATAAGTCTTTGAAGGCTCCACTAAAGCAAACTCAGAGTCATATTATCCAAATAAATACGGCTTGGAATAGTTAATCTCTTAGGCCTTGTCCACACGGACACGGGTATTTTTAGAACGTGACTTTTTTTACACGGTTCGGCCGTTCGTCCACACGGAAACGCAGTATCAGGTCACTCAAGGATTTTCATAAACACCCGTTGCAGTGTTGTCGTGTAGACAGTAAAACCGGGGTTTTTGCCGTGCGACGTCAGAGTGTGTGCCGTTATCCGCCTACCGGAACTGGTAATAACTTTTTGTTAGGCCATTGTGGCTTTACAGTTAGGATTATATCGCCGCCTGCTGGTGTGGCATGCTCTTGACAGCGCTTGATAGCGTGCTTTTGCATTTTTTTTATTTTGTTTTTTTTTTTAAATGCAGGAGGAAAAACTCTGGTTATAAAAATACCTGTGTCCCTGTGGAAAGTTTCTTCTCTCGTTTCAAGAAACTTTCTAAAGATCTTCCAATGCGTTCTCATCCTAGGGCGTCATATAGTGGCACTTTTGAAATTTCGTCTAAATCCAACGCACAAGGCACGCTTTAGCGTCAATATAACACGCACAGAGCTTTGTTCGGTTAGGGTAGGTTTAGTTCTGGGGTAGCGGGTAGGTTTAGGGTTAGACCACTAGGAGGCGCCTTCTGGCCCATATGTATATCTGCATCTCATATTGATGCCAAAGGGTGCCATGTGTGCTGGATGTAGACGAAATGTCAAAAGCGTCAGTATATGACGCCTTGGGATGAGAACGAGTTGGATCTTCAAGCCTCTGCTTTTTATAAAAAATGCCAGTCAAAAAGGGTGGTAGTTGTGTGATAGTTTGGGAGGCATCAGAACCTAAACATTGTGCCCAGAAAGAACTGAAAAAAACTATGACTTATGAGAATTTTCCAGGAGAATAAAGCTAGCGGTCTGTAAACTAACGCAAAAGCTCAGCGGGGTCGTGCTCCAAAACAATGACCCCCTTAAGAAAATGATCCCTAAAACGTTTGAGATGGTCTAGTCACAGTCTAGACCTAAACCCTAATGAAATGTCGTGTCAGGATCTGAAACACACAGATCATGCTTGAACACTGAGCTGAAGCAATTCTGCAAGGAGGAGTGGGCCAAATTCCTCCATATAAATAACTACAGGAAACATTTGGTTGCAGTTATTGCTGCTAATGTGGACGCAACCAGATACTGGTTACCTCCATTAGCAGCATTCATTTAAAATAGTGTTGAACGAATAGTGCTTTCTTAAATGAATGCATGAAAGATTAATCTCATTTTGTTGTTGTCCATGAAGGCTCGTGGAAGGGTCTTGGTTAAAGATCTGAAGACATCATGTGTGAAATATGCAAAAATACAGACAAAAAACTTTTTCACAGGACTGAAATATTTTTTTTCTAAGGTTGCTTCCATAGCAACCTTATGCTGTCCATATGCTGGCCATCTTCTGGGCAGTTTTCTGTTTATTTCTCCCGCCTTTTAATTTTATTTCTAAGATGAGGCACACATCTTCTCGAATGGAATGAGAAAATCTTAACATATTTCTTCTTGCGTCAGTGCTAGGGTCAAATCGCTCGCCAGGAGCTTGATGTTACATAATGTGATGTTCAGGCATTCATCACAAGATATCATATGCCACCCCAGATCTCACTCAGTGATGTAAACTCTTAGTGAATACTGGAGCCAATCAGAAGACACATCTCCCAAGGGCAATCTTATATGGGAGGGGAGGCAAAGTACCCCTTTGTGACCCAACTGGGCAATGAAGGGCTCAAAGGAGCAATGGCCACCATGCAATCCTATCTTGCAGATGACCTCTCGTGCCCCATTTGTGGAAATATCCTGCAAAAGCCAGTCGTGCTGTTTTGCAGACATCGCTTTTGCAAGCTTTGCCTTGAGAACCAGTGGAATGGAGGAGGATCTTGCGAATGCCCGCTTTGCACTCAGCCATCCTCTATGGGGGAGCTCATAGTCAACACCATGCTTGAGAAGACCTGTGAGGGCTTTCTGGAGCGATGCAAAAACAACCCTCTCGCATGCAAGGAGCATGGAGAGACCTTGACGCTTTTTTGTTTGGAGGATCTGGAACCCATTTGTTGCAAATGCCAGTCGTCAGCCAACCACCATGGTCACAGGTTATATCCCTTAAATGAAGCTTCACACGACTGTAAGGTATGTCTACATACAGATTGATGGTCTTCTGCAATCTATGTTTGACATTTGTTTACAGGCAATGTTGATTCCAATGTAGATCTTCAACGATCGCACGGTCAATTCAAGGACAAGAGGGGAGACCAAAAATGTTTAATGAGAATAACCATTTGGACAACCGTCCTTTCTCGTTATGACCTCAGAAATAGTTATTTATGGATTCTTGGCTGGGTTTATTAACAGACTATTAATAGTGGTAAGTTCATGCTAGTAGGGATGAGGCCTCCTGGTAGGGCTGAAACCAGATGCCCATGTGCTCAGTTTAGAGTTGATGAAAGTATACACTCATATCTCCTCAAAATAATCGAAAAATCTTTTAAGGTCATGTCTTAGGACACTTTATCACCCCACAATTAAAGGAAAGCAAGATATTATATGATATCTAGTTTCACTTATTGTATTCACATTCTTCATTTTCTACTTGCAATGTATGGATTTTTATTTTATTCCTTATAATTGCACCTTTCTTAGTGCCATACAACCAGGATGCGAATTACACAATGGCCTTTAGGGGGGTCAGGGAGTTGCGGAGCAGTTTGCTTCATACATTTAGTTAAACAGCATCAAAGAGGCCAAATTTTATCATTGCACCTCAATTTTATGACGTGCACCTCTTCAAAAATGTAACTACACGTGTCGCGACGGCGCGGACCGCAAGATCTGTGATTGGTCGGTTTGGTAGCATCGCATTTCATCCTAAGCATTTCCGCACGTACCATCTCCTCCGATGTCTTCTCTCGTTTTTGCCTTTTAGTTTTAGTAATTTCATCAAAATTAACCGTTTTTCCACCTCAATAAGCTCCAACTCCAACATGATCTGCTCTCTTTCAGTCGCCATTGCTTGTAGTAACCTAGCCGCGAGGAATCTAAACACAGTGGAACATTAAAACCCTCCGCCGCCAACTAGCGTTTCGGAGCAGTACTGCAGAGCAACCAAGACCTGAACGCAGAAGTATAAATGCTCATGACGGTGTCGCTTACGTGCGTAGCCTATGCCGTACACTACGGCGTACCCTCGACACAGAAGTATAAATTGGCCTTTAACAGGTAAAGCTTCATGTTATGGGTATACTGCTTTCTTTGACCCCCACAACATCTTGTATTAATGTCAAATCCCCATTCTTGTTAGTTTGCACCCTGAAAACAAGCATGGGCACACCAGATTTTGGAAGCTAAGCAAGGTTTGACATAGGGATCGTTTACACGACACCGTTTTTAACTGAAAACTTTTTATGTGTTTTGGCCGACCATTTACATGACAACGGTGTATTGGGGGCCTAAAAACTACCGTTTTAGTCTCCATGTTAACTGCGAAAATGAGAATCAGTGAAAACGGTGATGGCATGCGTATTGCGTGTTCAGCATGTGTGCAAGCCAAGTGCATAGTCTTTCTTGCATAATACAAAGTTTTTAATCGTTTTCGTGGATCTGTATGAATGGGGATGGTTTTTAATAATGTTGCCATCTGTACAAACATTTCAGTTTTTAGTACATCTTTGTGGTCTTAACGTACCCTAAGATTGTACTTGGATGGGACTGGCAATCCATCAAGGGTGTTTTCCTGGGATAGGCTCAACTCTACATAAGACATAATTGGGAAAATAAATGAATGGTTGGATAACTGGAACTTTATATGGTTGAAAATCAGGCTGTGAAAAGGGACGAATCTTCTTGTGGATGCTTTGGCCTTTAAAGTTTTAGCCATTAAAGTAAAGCCATTGTTTTAAGTTCTAAAAAAGTTTGGGCATCTCTAAATGAATAAATGTGTGTCAGGATGGGAACATCTAGTAATTGCTCATTCTTGCCGTGTTATCGTTTTATTCACTCTTTAATAGGAAGAACTCAAAAATGCTTTGAAACCACTTCAGGAAAAGCTGAAGCTCTTCCGAAAAGCAAAACTCACTTGTGAGGAAACAGTAAAGCATATTAAGGTATTTTCACATCGAATTCGCTTTAAGCATGCAGGAGAACAATTATAGAAGGAGACAATGAATACTCTCCTTCAAAAAAACCAAATGATAGCCTTCTCATTACAGAGTCAGGCTGAGAACACAGAGAGGAAGATAAGAGAGGAGTTTGAGGCGCTGCACCAGTTTCTGCGAGATGAGGAAGCATCCAGGCTTTCCATGCTCAAGCAAGAGAAGGATCAGAAGAGGCAGATGATGAATGATAAGATTGAAGATTTGGAGAATGACATCACTTCACTTAGCAATACTATAAGAGTCATTGAACAGGAGATGTTATCTCAGGATATACCATTCCTCAAGGTGAACATTCGTCAAGAAATGATAGAAACACAATGCGTACAGTTCACTCTTTGTAATCTGGTTTTCTTTGTATTCCATGTAGAATTATAAGGACACTATAAAGAGGTAAAAAGCCTTTCTCAGTTATCAATTTAAATTTAAACTATAATTTTCTCTGTGACCTAGATCTAGAATAACCCTGTATTGTTTTATTGACAGAACCTGGCGGGTTCCCCAGGATACAGAGATGATAAGAGGTTCACTGCTTGATGTTGCCAAACACCTGGGCTCATTAAAGTTTAAAGTATGGGAAAGAATGAAGGAAATCATTCAATATAGTGAGTATATTCTGTATCTTAGGAGCCCCTAAAGGGACATGGTGATGGAAAAAATAAAGAGATTAGAGGTAAAATGTTTTTTTTTCCCTCACAATAAAAAGTCCAGTGTAAATGATCCAGTCATTTTAACAAATTTTGCTTTGTCAGCAACATTTGAATTTCACCTTTCAACAATTGCTTTGTTTCAGCTCCAGTGACCCTTGATCCGAACACCGCGGCAAGCTGTTTCCTCCTGTCAGAGGATCTGACAACATTACAGTGCTGTTCCCAGACGTTTAAACTCCCAGAAAACCCTGAGCGTTTCAATGTTGGCGCAGAGGTACTGGCCTATGAGGGCTTCAGCTCGGGACGATACAGCTGGGACGTGGAGGTCAAAAACAACACTTACTGGGTCATTGGAGTTGCAAGCGCATCCATCAGCCGGAAGGGAAAGCATGTGCTGACCCCCGCAGAGGGATTCTGGACCATTAGGCTACGAAACGGAGAGTATAAAGCCTGTACTGCCCCATGGTCCCCTCTCACTATGACTCAGGAGCCGCAGGTGGTGAGAGTGGTTCTGGACATGAACAGATCCAGGGTGACTTTCTACGACCCACGAGAGAGGACGCCATTGTTCACCTACATGGACATCATCACTCCGAGGGCATTCCCATACTTCTGCAGTGCCTGTAAGGAGCACCCACTGAGAGTGTTGCCAGCGTGGATCTCTATTAAGACAGACTGAAGTGAAGAAGGTCCCTCTCCACATTTCAACTCTTATGTTACAGTACATGTGTTGTGTGCGGGTCAGCTTTTGGATTTTAAAAACCTGATAGATGATCTGAATCACAAGGTGAATCTCCCCAAAATTGTCCTAAAATGCATAAGTCACATTTTCCTGAAATCAAAAGAAAATATGATAATATTGTAACACCAGTGGTTGACACTTCATCATAGTCTGTGTGTGTGTGGTGGTATTGCACCTTATCACTGGTATCCACCCATCATAAAATGGAAAAAAGACGACAACAATGGTGACGTAGTGTGTAGCAATGTGCTACTGCCACTCTAAATCTTGTTGGAGGAGTTGATAGACAGAGAAGAGAGACAGGCACTGTTTACACCTGGTGTTAAGATGCGTTTTGGTCGATCGGATCACAAGTGGACGACGCTAAATACAGGTGTAAATGGGGTCTAAAATGTTTTGAGCTTGTCCACTTTCGACCACTTCCAGAGGTAGTCGGAAACGCATTCGATCGGACATCTTTCGTAGTGTAAACGGTCATGTGGTCGAATGTGTTCGTACAGCCATAAAAGTGTTGTAGTGTTGTTGTCGAGACCAGCTCACTCGAGTCCGAGTCGAGACCGAGACCATAGAGGGTTGAGTCCGAGTCGAGACCGAGACCATAGAGGGTCGAGTCCGAGTCGAGACCAAGACCAAAGAGAGTCGAGTCCGAGTCGAGACCGAGACCAAAGACAGTCGAGTCCAAGTCGAGACCGAGACCATAGAGGTTCGAGTCCGAGACCAAAGAGAATCGAGTCCGAGTCGAGACAGAGACCAAAGACAGTCAAGTCCGAGTTGAGACCGAGACCATAAAGGGTCGAGTCCGAGACCAAAGAGAGTCGAGTCCGAGTCGAGACAGAGACCAAAGACAGTCAAGTCCGAGTCGAGACCGAGACCATAGAGGGTCGAGTCCGAGACCAAAGAGAGTCGAGTCCGAGTCGAGACAGAGACCAAAGACAGTCAAGTCCGAGTCGAGACCATAGAGGGTCGAGTCCGAGTCGAGACCGAGACCATAGAGGGTTGAGTCCGAGTCGAGACCGAGACCATAAAGGGTCGAGTCCGAGTCGAGACCGAGACCATAAAGGGTCGAGTCTGAGTCGAGACCGAGACCAAAGATAGTCGAGTCCAAGTCGAGACCCAGACCAAAGATAGTCGAGTCCAAGTCGAGACCGAGACCAAAGATAGTCGAGTCCAAGTCGAGACCGAGACCATAGAGGGTCGAGTCCGAGTCGAGAACGAGACCATAGAGGGTTGAGTCCGAGTCGAGACCATAGAGGGTCGAGTCCGAGTCGAGACCGAGACCATAGAGGGTTGAGTCCGAGTCGAGACCGAGACCAAAGATAGTCGAGTCCAAGTCGAGACCCAGACCAAAGATAGTCGAGTCCAAGTCAAGACCAAAGATAGTCGAGTCCAAGTCGAGACCGAGACCAAAGACAGTCGAGTCCAAGTTGAGACCGAGACCATAGAGGGTCGAGTCCGAGACCAAAGAGAGTCGAGTCCGAGTCGAGACAGAGACCAAAGACAGTCAAGTCCGAGTCGAGACCGAGACCATAGAGGGTCGAGTCCGAGTCGAGACCGAGACCATAAAGGGTCGAGTCAGAGTCGAGGCCGAGACCAAAGACAGTCGAGTCCGAGTTGAGACTGAGACCATAGAGGGTCGAGTCTGAGTCGGGACCGAGACCATAGAGGGTCGAGTCCGAGACCAAAGATAGTCAAGTCCGAGTCGAGACCGAGACCATAGAGCAGGGCTATTCAATTAGCTTCATTCGAGGGCCGCATTATTAAATCGAAAAGTTGAGCTGGGCCGGTGGGTTTGGCTTATTTATTGAAACATAACAGTATCATTAAGTAAGCTAAAGTAAACAAAAAAAAAATGGTTTTGCATTTAATAGGAAATGTGGTACTCAACAGTATGCAGACCATAATAAATAACTTTTTTACAGCTATATACAAATATATTGAATTATACAATATCATAGCTATTGGCTATTGGTAAGAATTATTTTATTAATAATTATTAAAGGCTTAAATTAAAATATCCTGACAGTGAGACTTGTGGCTCACTACTGTATAAAAATGCCTAAATAGGTAAACAATTATACACACAATGAATTATATATTCCTCTACCCCCCTAATAAATCTAATGCAAAATAAATGACTATTACATAGTATTCAATATAAATATTCCACATTTCTGCCCAAACCATGGTAAATTATTACATTCATAGTAAATGTTTGTAAGGGTGGTGATTATGGCATTTATACTAGCTTCTAACTTTGTTCATGTTTCTGCTATTTACCTCATCAATAGTGTCGCGAATGTTAAGGCTGTTTCATCCGATTTAAAACTAGATAAAATCATTGAGGGATTTGTGGTTTGTAACAGAGAGGAGTGTCGATTGAAACGCTTCTCAATGGATGTCGAAACGCTGTTTAATAATAGTATCCGGGACCGGGAGTAAACGCAACTCCTTTAAGCTTGCGTTCCGTTATCCACTGGACCGTGCTGCCTAGTTCAAAGTAAACTAGTGAAACAACTGAAACCAGCACTATTTTGTTCTCTATTTGTTCTTACTGACCGAGAAACCGCTTAAGATGATTCAGTGACAGAAAGGTCCGAACGAATCCGAATCGTTTCCGACCGTTATGCACGCACGTTTGGCCAATTTATGAAAAGGAAATAGGAATCGATCCAACGAATGATTAATATCGCTGGTTCAGTCGACAGAAATACGGGACGCACTGCTGAAATATTCGGACTGAAAACGTTTCTCTCAGGTCAGTCGGAGCGCTCATGGTACACACACAGTGCGTATAGTCATCCAGCTGCACGCGCCACTGCGGCCACGCGCAAATCAAACCAAATTTAGCCACACCACCAGAAAATAGGAGGGGGAGGTTGGAGTGCTTTCGGGCCGCATGGAGATGATTGGCGGCCGCACTTGGCCCGCGGGCCGCCAATTGAATAGCCCTGCCATAGAGGGTCGAGACCGAGACCATAGAGGGTCAAGTCCGAGTCGAGACCATAGAGGGTCGAGTCCGAGTCGAGACCGAGACCATAGAGGGTCGAGTACGAGTCGAGACCGAGACCATAAAGGGTCGAGTCAGAGTCGAGGCCGAGACCAAAGACAGTCGAGTCCGAGTTGAGACTGAGACCATAGAGGGTCGAGTCTGAGTCGGGACCGAGACCATAGAGGGTCGAGTCCGAGACCAAAGATAGTCAAGTCCGAGTCGAGACCGAGACCATAGAGGGTCGAGACCGAGACCATAGAGGGTCAAGTCCGAGTCGAGACCATAGAGGGTCGAGTCCAAGTCGAGACCGAGACCATAGAGGGTCGAGTACGAGTCGAGACCACCATAGAGGGTCGATTCCGAGTTGAGACCGAGACCAAAGTCGGTCGAGTCCGAGTCGAGACCATAGAGGGTCGAGTCCGAGTCGAGAACGAGACCAAAGACAGTCGAGTCCAAGTCGAGACCGAGTCCAGAGAGGTTGATAACCTAAGGTTGGGTCTCAAACCAGACTTAAAGATATCTTCAAGAATATTTAAAATATTTGCTGGTAACAATAAAATTGACACCATACTCAAACAGTAAACCAAATATACCATGGAAAACTGTATATATACCATGTAAACTGTAATGGTAAAAAGTCAGTTCCAAGTCAAAATGCAGTCCATGACAAGACCGAGTCCATTAAAATATGGTCTCGAGACCGAGTCCGAGTCTTGAGTGCACAACACTGCTACTCTCCTCATACTGACCGAAAATGTAAACATTATGGGAAGCGCTCTAGCCAGACGGTATTTAAACTTTGTGGGCTGAAGACCCAAGTTTGGTTTGAAGATGAAAAACGTACCAAGCACGATGTTCTCATTATTCCTGATTTCTAACACACATTAACAGGTCATATGTAAATTGCATGAGCTTATTTTGCCCATTAGATCGAAAGATCTAAAAAAGCCCATACAATAACCCTCCTCATTGACCCTCTCCTTGGAGAAATCGTGGACAAATGAGACAGATTAAAACAACAGGTGTAAACGAGTATATGTCTCCCTCGTCTACTTGTGTTCCATTCAACCAATGGATCTTAAAACCAGGTGTAAACAGGGCCACGGTCTACCCTCACCCAGGAAAAAGGTTCACTCGCCACTGTGGGAGTTTTTTTGGATTTGGTAAAAAGAGGGGGTGCTAGAAACCCCAGTCTGCAGGAAATGGCATTAAATTAGATTTGTGCGCTTTGTTTGGACAGTTAGTCTCCGCCTCCCTAGTCTCATATTTTGAGTGTGATAAATTAACAAAACTTCTATAGATATCTATTGTTATTGTGAGTACTTTGGCCACAAAGAAAATATGACATTGAAACAGGTCTTTTAATAAATATTACTTACATATAACCCATACAACAAAGATTTAAGATTGATGTCAGGACATTAAAATCAGAAAAGAGAAGTAAAATGCTGTAAAAATGTTTATTTATTCATTTAGATTGCAGTAGATTCATGCAATTACACTGTTTTAGTTTTTCCACAATGTCTTTGTTCATGTATCAGTTTCAGGCCATTCATCTTGTCACATCACACATGATTAAAGCTTGAAGAGGTAAAATCTAAGGCACTTCATTTTGGCTGTTTACAAAGACAATGTATTTTTCAGCTCTCTAAAAGTCACTTTGGAGTTAGGCAATTTCATCAATGTTTAAGTAATAAAAATCTCAATTTCGTTAATATACAGTAATCATCATCATTCAGGCTCAAAATGCATTTAACTTGCTGGTTTGTAGTGGTATAAGCCTAATGTCAAAGCCAGGCAGGCATCATAGTGGAGTTTCATCTTTCATCCCGTTGGCTTTGTGTTGTTGTTTTGGTTGTTAAATTGGGAGTGCACATGTATTCGTCACCTGTGCACACCATCAACTAAGAATAACACATTAAAATAATACTTCACTCTTACTGTCCCATCTATTGCATATTAGATAATTAGTTTGTCATTGCCAAGATACAGCTTGTGCTTTCTAGTAGGCTACCAAATCGTAGAAACCTTTTCAAATGCAATACTTTAAATTGGAAGAATGTAAATGCAAAAAGTGTCTACATGCTAGCAGAACTAATCTGAGTGGTTTCTGTCGCAGTATTCTGTTTGTCACATGTTGTTGGTCACAAGATGACCAGGTAGGTTCAGGCTACCTTCTCTTCTTCGTCTCAAAGGGATATCCTGCCTTCTTCAAAAGCACTGTACAGCTCCTCGTTCACAAGCTCGTAACGGCCTGCTCTGGAGTTCAGAAAGTAGATCTGGTCAGTTGTGAGCCGTGGATCGTATCCTTCCCTCTGCAATCTGGTCTTCTGAATTTTAAATGTTCCTGTGAAAGGGTAAGAGTAGGAAATCAATTCACAGCAACACACCATTTTTGAAATATTTGAGAAAAACAATGGGTTTTTATCAATCAGATTAATCAACATTTTACGTCTTACCTCAAAAATGTGAGAAAAAAGAGTCCCAAATCATGAGATAACTCACTAATGTGAAAAAAAGAGGAGTCCTACATTATAAGGTAACAACTCACAAATGTGAGGAAAAAAGTGCCCAAATTATGAGATAACTCACAAATGTGAGAAAAAGAGTCCTAAATTGTAAGGTAATAACTCACAAATTTGAGGAAAAAAGTGCCCAAATTATGAGATAACTCACAAATGAGAGGAAAAGAGTCCTAAATTATAAGGTAATAACTAACAAAAGTGAGGAAAAGAGTCCTAAATTATAAGGCAATAACTAACAAATTTGAGGAAAAGAGTCTTAAATTATAAGGCAATAACTCACAAATTTGAGGAAAAAAGTGCCCAAATTATGAGATAACTCACAAATGAGAGGAAAAGAGTCCTAAATTATAAGGTAATAACTCACAAATGTGAGGAAAAAAAGTGCCCAAATTATGAGAACTCACAAATGAGAGGAAAAGAGTCATAAATTATAAGGTGATAACTAACAAATGTGTGGAAAAGAGTCTTAAATTATAAGGCAATAACTCACAAATTTGAGGAAAAAAGTGCCCAAATTATGAGATAACTCACAAATGAGAGGAAAAGAGTCCTAAATAAGGTAATAACAAACAAATGTGAGGAAAAGAGTCCCAAATTATGAGATAACTCACAAATGAGAGGAAAAGAGTCCTAAATTAAAAGGTAATAACTAACAAATGTGAGGAAAAGTCCCAAATTATGAGATAACTCACAAATGAGAGGAAAAGAGTCCTAAATTATAAGGTAATAACTAACAAATGTGAGGAAAAGAGTCCCAAATTAAAAGGTAATAACTCACAAATGTGAGGAAAAAAGTGCCCAAATTATGAGATAACTCACAAATGAGAGGAAAAGAGTCCTAAATTATAAGGTAATAACTAACAAATGTGAGGAAAAGAGTCCTAAATTATAAGGTAATAACTCACAAATGTGAGGAAAAAAGTGCCCAAATTATGAGATAACTCACAAATGAGAGGAAAAGAGTCCTAAATTATAAGGTAATAACTAACAAATGTGAGGAAAAGAGTCCTAAATTATAAGGTAATAACTCACAAATGTGGGGAAAAAAGTGCCCAAATTATGAGATAACTCGCAAATGAGAGGAAAAAAGTCCTAAATTATAAGGTAATAACTCACAAATGTGAGGAAAAAGAGACCCACATTGTGAG